TAACACACATACTGACACTGAGCAATAGTCAAGTTCTCTCTTTGGTCCTATCGGTCGGAAGCTCAGAATATTCACTTTTCCAGCATTGCCCAGCCGAGTGGTGCAAAGATCCCCCACTTCTCGTTCGTTTGGGTTCTTTTCGTTCTTTTTCTGTTGTCGTTGTCGTTGACGAAAGCCTAGTTTTTCTTTGGCTAGTAAGAGTGGTTGATGTTCAGGGTACTATGTGAAAAGCACAGCGCTGGTAGGCAGGCTTATTTCGATTTGGTTTGGGTATTTTTAGTTGAATAAGATAAATTATTTAATCTTCCATAACATATTACAAGAAAATTGGTGTCTTCCAGATAGCTGTCGTGATAGATTATAAATGCATTATCTGCAGTGAAGTTCTGAACTCATCCCTTCTTTTGTAGGCGTAAGAGAATATAAATATAATTAGCGACGTAACACACTTGTCTTAGGAAGTAGGAGGACTGGTCACCATCAGGTCTTTGGTCTGCTTTTTCCAACTGGGCAAACGGATCTGGCGTGATGGGAAGAGAGCAGCGGAGAGACGCGTGCCCTGGTAGTATCTTACACCTCTTGGGAAGATGAGATGCTCCCCATTGGCCACCTCTTGGGGCTGCGTGAGGGACAAGTTCCTTCCTTGCATGGCTACCGTTTGCAGGCAGAGATGTGCCAGGTGGCTGGTGAGAAGGAAGCAAGGAGACATGTCCAAGGGTTGGTCTGAAGAGCTTCTCCAGGTCCAAGGGTTGGTCTGAAGAGCTTCTCCAGGTCCAGAGGTTGGTCTGAAGAGCCTCTCAATGTCCAGGGCTTGGTCTGAAGAGCTTCTCCAGAGTCTGGTGTTATGGGGAAAGAGAGCAGATGGTTGATGGAGAAGTCTTTGAGGCAGGGTGAGGGGGAAGATGGTGGCTTCACCTTGCACCCATGTCACTGGCAAGGCTGAGACCAAACTGCGATGCCTCTGTGGCAATCAAGTGACCCCCTATTCTTTGGGTTACAGCTGGGCTCAGAGACTTCCAGGAGAAATGTTCATCCAAGCACAAATCCCGGCACCATAGAGAAAGGCCGGAGAGGGGGATGATGTCCAGCTGCTCTGCTTGGCAAGTGGGGAGAAGTGGGGGGAAGAGGAAGCAATAGCAATAAACACGTCGCCTTCCTCACGGGAAGGCACCTGAGAAAAGGCGAGAGCAAGGAAGGTGATCCACACTTGATGTGGACCGGGGCTGGGAGACAATGGGCGCGCAGAAGCTGTGGGCATCAGGGTAATTTGGGGGGGTTTGGGCTTACCCAAGGGCACAAGGGCATGAAGCTGAGTGCAGCCAGTGACATCCTACCTTGGGGTGTTGAAGTAGAGCAATAAATTGTCTCGAGGGCAGCAGAGAGTTCGTTTGTATTTGCAGACAATGCTTGCGGCCAGTTTATTTTTAAATCCTTACCACTAAACCCAGCTTAGGAACAAAGTTTTTCTTCTTCTTTTATTTTTCCCCTAAGACAAAAACATCGGTGGGTTTTGATTTTTCCCTCAAGTGTGCCAAAAGAGTTACATTCACCCAGCGGCGTGTTTGCAACTCTCATATCTCTTGGGCTCCGAGGTTGCCACAACGGACCAAATTCAGAGCCTTCAAAGAGGTCAGGTTAGGAGATGTGGATGGGAATCCCTCCCGGCACTGCCTGGCATGGGTTTCCGACCCATGTGTGGTGTTGAGTCAGTGCCCAGATATCTCTGTTGGTTGTTCTGCTTTGGTCGTGCCTGGATTGCATCTCCAGATGGAGGCGAGGGCAGTGGAGGCCAACACTGGAGGGTCACCTTGACTGGGACATGGTGGTGTAGAGGGCATACCTCCTTGCTCTCGGTGGTGTCTCCCAGCTTGGCTTCGGTTGCCACTGGGAGGAGCTACTGGAGCTCCTTCCCATGAGCGTGATCCAAATGGGGAGAAACAAGCTTAGGGACCCAAGAGGATATTTTTCCTACTGCTGGTTGGTCCCAGGTGGTTTGTCAGGTTGGGTGTTGGCACCGGTGCTTCTGTATGTGGTTGGTTCTGATGTTTTTTAAAGGAAGTCTGGCAAAGCTCTGGTTGACCTTCCCAAGCTCAAAGGGAACACAGTGGGCGAAGACTGAACACCAGTGCTGTGGGGTGGGGAAGGTGAATTTCTCCCGTGTAGTACTTTGGGTTGCACTTTGGGTTCGTATAAAAGGAAAAGAGAAGGAAAACAAAAAGAAAAAGAGTAGTCAGAGGGTTGCCCCGCTGAGCTTGGCGAAGCCAAGGGTTAGCATGTAAAGAGCAATGGGACATTTGGAAATAACAATACGACATCGTCCTTCCACCGTCTGTAGCACACAATAGTTAAACCTGGGCTGAAAAAAACCAACCCCAAACCCCAAAACCCAATAGAGCACAGGAATTTAGGACCTCTCAAATACCCTTTTTTGCTCTCACTGTTGACCTCGTTATGTATTAGGAGCCGTCTGTGAGTGTTGAAACCCGCAGGATAGAGTAAGCTCTAGCCAACATACCGGCACGACGGCTTGCAGGGTCCATCAAGCTTTGATACCACAGCCCAGGCTCTGCAGAGGAGGACCTTGCCCAGCAGACACCACCCTACCACTGGCCTGGGCACCCTTCACCCTTAACTGCTTTAGGAATGACTGCTAAAATTTTGGCCCACGTCTAGGAAGGAGATGCTTGGCTTTCTCCTGAAAGGCAAGAAAATGCTAAAAAAGCTCCAGGAGCTGAGCAGGGAGGATCAGCCAGTGCTACTGCCAACGAGATCTGACACGGGGCGGCTTAGTCTGAATTCCTTCACTTGTTTCAACAGCACATCTGATGCTCCTCATCCTGTTGTGCCCAGGTAGAAATACTCATTAACTCAACCAGGGTGTGAAGAGGTGAAATATTTGCCATCTGTTGGGCAAGAGGCTTTGGTGAGCACATTTGGCAACTGCTGTTGGGTTTAGGCTTGGCCCACTGCATGGCTCCAGGGCCACCACATGGCTCTGAGGCCACCACATGGCTCCAGCCTTGGATAGCTCCTTCCCAAGGTGGCTTCATGGGGCTGTGGTGGTGGGGAGATGCTCCCTGCCACCACGTGGGGATGTGGAGCTTGACACCGCCCAGCTCATGCCAGGTCCCCTTCCCCGTGGAGGAACATGGTTTTTCGGACAGATGGACAGAGGGGAGGAAAGCCCATGATCCCAAGCCCTTTCCTTGGTCAAGTCATGGCTTAAGTGAAGGTCATGGGGAGGTTGCAGCCTTGGTGGGGGGCAGGGGGTGGACACTGATGGGGGCGACCAGCTTCTCAAATATTTCACTCCAGCAAAGCTTTGCTGATGTCAGTTAAGGAAAAGGGTTTCCCACGGTGAAGGATCAGAGCGGGCGTTAGCGGGGAAGAGCAGGAGGGGTTAAACCACCCTTAGCAGCCAGCAAAGCCTCTCCAAGATTAAAATTCCAGCTAAAGAGGAAGGAAAAGAACTCTTCACCCGCTGTTACGACCATTAACCCATCCCTGCCCTTCCCTTCGCTGTAAAACACGAGCTGTAAGGTGAGATTTGGGGTGGGAGGGGAGCATATTAATAGTGGTGGTGGCCCCCAACCCGAGCAAGCCCCTTGGAGCCTGAACCCATCACGCCTCCAAGCGGCTGAACTCTCCGGGGGAGGATTTGCTCCTGCATTTTAAGAATAATAATAACCCAGTCCAGCTTTTTGCAGTTTCAAGATGCAATTACCATGAAGTGTTAGTTAAAGGGCCTTGGGTTTGTCTTTTTTTTTTGGTTGGTTGTTTTTTTTAGATGATGGATGTTTCATGGTATCAGGTTTTCCCCCAGCTGCGGAGTAGGGTCCTTCCCGGAGAGAAACCCCCCTCCCGTCTTTGCCATCCCCTCCCACTCCTCCCGCATCCCGACGGATGCATCCCCGCAGGGGATTTGGGATGATGCTGTCCCCGGAGGGTGTGAAATGGGGTCTTGCTTTCTTAGAGAAAGAAAAAAAAAACCCAAAACCACATGGGGGGCGGGGGTTATTTTCAACCGGAAAACCCAACCAGCCACCACTAGCAATAAGAGCCGCTGGAGACCCAGAAATCCAGGTTTGGGTGGTGGTTGGGGTTTTTTGGGTCACTGTTTTCAAGCCCTTCAAGCATCCATCGTCCCCGAAACGCAGCCGCCCTCTGCCCATCTTCCCTTTGCTTTGTCGCCTGCAACGGGCTGTCCGATCAGGCTCCGGTATTTTCTCTGCTGTGTGCTAGCATTCCCAGTGGGAAAACAGGAAAATCAAGCCTGTTAAGGAGCTTGGGAGGGAGGAGAGCTTGGAAAAGGTGGGGTTTTTCCAGCATGTGGCACCACGGCACTTATAGATTCGCCCGTAATCGGGTAAAATAACCTCTTACGGGGACGTTTGCAAAGCAGGAATAGCAAAATTTGTGGTTTACCAGCAGCAATTCCCGGTTGGAAATGCTCGGTCGTGCTGTTTGTAGGGGAAAAAAAAACCCAAACAAAACCACCCTGGTGCAACACGGCCACCTGCAGCATCGCACCTGCAAGGGATGGAGTTGGGTTTTTCTTGGGGCGAAGGGGGTTCCGGGTCAGAAAACAAAAATAGTCTGACTTATGGTGATGCTTTCACACCACTTCACATATTCTGCTTTGCACAAACATGGGTTTTGCTCAGCTAGCCAGCTGAGAGGTAGTGTCAGGGAATCTTAATGCAATCAGGGAATTCCTTAATGTTTTGCGTATATTGAGAAGCAGGAAAACACAAAACAGTTAACAGTCACACAGGTGTTTAAATCTCTCGAAATTTACAGACTACTTTAAAAAATACTTCCCAATACCATTAGAAACTGTGTTGAGTGCTGATGTTCTCTATCAGGACAGGAATTTACCGGCTACGGTATACAGAACATGCAAAAA